ATTTAAAAAAATTTAAAAGGAAAAAAACCCACTTGGGGGGGCAGTGGAACAGGGAGGAAATTATGAATCAATTAATGAATGGAAATCCAAGTTCTTTGTTAACTTTCACTCTGGACAGCAGAAGAACATTATTGGCTGTAGTGGACTTGAGCAGGACAGAAATAGTGAAAATGGCACAAGATAGTGCAAGGTTCACATCTTTTGCTCATAGGGTTACTATGAGTCATAGTTAACTTGATGGCAATTATCTATTCACAGTTAAAGAAAATATAGTAAAGCACAGTTCCCTTTTCATGTCAATCTCTTTATATTTTAAAATGTATTTCTTTTATTAGGTTGTTTACTATGTCTTTGGTTGATGCAACAAAAGCAAACCTAGATGAGCACTTGCCCAGTGTGAAATTAGAAAGCAGTAGGAAGTCCACTGAATGTGAGAGGAGCCTAGGCCTGGATGATGTGCCCAGGAACAGTAGCAGTGCTGAGAAGAGTGTGGATTTTAGTCAGTGCTCCTGCAGAAGTTCAAATTCTCAATACGATTACTCAGAAGACTTTCTCTCAGAATATTCAGAAACAGCTGATAATAGAAATTATATAGAGCAGCCTGTGGTAAAGGAAAAGAAAGAGGAGACGAAAAAGTATGTATCTAGATTTGCCCAGCCTAAAGGTAAGAAGCACAGACCAGTTTCTTGTTATTGTGACGTTATTCCTTAATGTAATCATATTTTAAGGGATCCTTTTCTGTTTTATTGGTTTTGGTATTGTAAAATTTGTATTTGTCAACTTTTATAGATGAATTGTAGAAAAATGTAGAAATTCTGAATAATTGCAAAATAGAAGAAACTTGAGCTTAGAATGTGGAAACGCGAGAGCCCGCTAGTGATGTCAGTCCCGTTTTTAGTTAACAGGTGGTCGTATTACCGAGTACCACGGTACCTGGATTTCACTGGCTTCTTGCCTCTCATCTCAGCTGAAGAACAAAAGTTTGATGTGCCAATGAAATGTAAAAACTTATCTCAGCAGCCCAAGAGGATGGTCTCCAATTCTGGTGAGGCACGTTGGCAAAGACAGTCTTTTGAAACATGTTTCTAATCGCTGTTAATAATCATTTCCTTGAAGATTTTACAAATTTTACATATGCTCAGCTTCTCCCTTCCTTACACCCTGAAATGCTGGGCTTGCAATTTTTCCTCCATGTGAACAGCTGTCCTAGCCACAAACTCTTCTACTTTGCCCAATAGAACTTCCCTCAGTCAATAGGTGGCAAAACTTACTAAGGGCCTACTGTTTGCAGACACATCTATCTCCTGCTGTCATATATGCCTGTATTTTTTTACTCACAGTCTGCTATTACCAGAGGTGCTAAGGCCCCTATGCACCACTTCTGGGTATGTCTGTAGTAATCAGATTCCCCTCTTCGTAATTATAAAGAGGGATCCAAGATCCATTGTCTGTAAGCCTCTTGAAAGACTATGTATTTTCTGTGTATATTAGTGTTTGGGAAGCTACAGCCTTCATTAGATTCTCAAAAGGTTAAAACAAAAACAAACCCAAAACCTTTTTCTAGAGAGATGGCGTTCTATACCCACCTGATATTGCCTGGGGGCAAAAGATGAAAAGTCCAGAATCTCACGGTGAGACTCTGTCTCTAGGAGTCTGTTTTTGGCATTGGGGGGGGGGGGATTTACCAAAACAGAACAACTTGCTTAGGTTCTATTATACTATAGTTGCATAGTACTTCATCTGAAATTTGAAATTTACAAATCTTTGGAAACTCAACATTTTTCATATTTGGTACCAAAACCTTTGAATCAACATGTCGTTGTTCTGTGTGATCAAGTAAGAACTGACCAGCTGACCCTCCAGCAGGTTTTTGGAGACTATAAATTGCATTAAAGGAGACTACCCCTCCTTTTGTGGTACAGCTGCTGAGACTGATCTTTATTTTTTTTATTTTATTAATTTTAATGAACATTTACAGATATTTTGAATTTCCATTCATTCATTGTTGCACTTTTCTCCCTGCCCACCCCTCCCCCCCCCAGTTTGCTCCTCTCTTTGAAAAGTAAAAGAAAAATTCTTCATTGGTATACATACAATCACACACACACACACACACACAAAATGATACACACACAAACACACACTCCCCACTGTCCCAAGTACACTTCACTATGCAACCTTAATTCTGGACTCTTGTGATAATCATAATACCCTATTATATATCACTTTTAAATTGTTCTCTCCCTCATCTGTTTCAATGCAGTATACATAATTTATCCAGTTTGATCTTTATTTTTTTTAACTTAATCTAAATAGTCATATGCTCCAAAACAATTTTCTAATAAGAGGACACTGTCCAGCACTCAGCTCTGGTGACCCTGTGCATTAAGTGTTGTATTGCTAATCCAAAGATTAGAAGCTTTTGGCTGGGATTGGTGAGCAGTGGGGTGGAATGTTGATTCACCAAGGGAAGTGAGGCGATGTGATTAGGCCTTCTATTTAAAAGTCCTTTTTGGTCAGCAGAATGGTGGGTGATTTTAATCTGTGGCCCTCGGGCCTCACTTAAATTGGTTTTTGTCAAACATTCTTCTAAGTGGCATAGCACTGGTCTGTGCATTGCTGTACATAGGTAACTCGTGGTTGCTGTGATGCTAAACACTGTGACACTGATGTGTCACATGTGATATTGGTTACCCATAGTGGACAGTGTTTGGTGGCACTCTCGATGAAAACAAGCTTGGAAGCAGGAATGGCATCCACTTCTGAAACGGCTTACTTCCAGAAACTCTATGAACCTGGAGAAACAACCAGTTATACAAGTGTTCAGGTCTTTCATTCATAGGGTCGCTATAAGTCTTCTACGACTCGACAGAATTTAACAACAACAACAATCCAAAGGTCAGCAGTTCTAATCCACTATTTACTCCAAGGAGAAAGATTGGCATTCTGCACCCAGAAAGATTCATGACTTCCTAAACCCAATTAAAAAAAATAATTACTGAATGTATGAGTGGTACCAACTCTACAAGAGGAACTATATAAAATACCATATTTGTACCTAAAAGAGAAAACCCCAAATTCTAAAGCAATCTGACCCCAAGGACTTTTACCAAGTATGATAGATATATATCCTATATTTTATAATTATTATAAGCAACTATGTAAGAAATAAATTAACATGTATAAAATTACTTCAATAAGAAACTAACTTCATTTTTTTGTTCTTAACGACTTATTAACTTTAAAAAAAGAAACTCCTTTCATTTACGCAAATACACCCAGATATTTGTTGGATATGGAGCTCTGGTGGCCTAGTGTGTAAGGAGTTGTGTTCATAACTCTAAGGCTGCACCTCGCTGGTGGTTCAAATCCACCAATTGTACTGAGAGGAAAGATGAGCAGTTTTCTCCCATGCTGTTTACAAACTGAGAAAGCAAACCTACTAGAGGGTCAGCTGTGAGTAAATTCCGATGTGACAGAAATTAAGTTTTTCCCTTTTATTGCTATTTATTGAGTGTTTTATGCAATGTACCTGTTCACAACCTGGAAACAACCTAAATTTAGTCATTCACTTCACAGCCAGGTAGATCGTGAGTTCCATTATCTGAAGGAATGAAAAGTTTGGTTGGATATCCTTTTCAGATTAATACTCTGTAATTATTTAAATGAATTTTTTATTCATTTTTAACCTAAATCTTATATTTACAGAGATCTTTGTATATGATAAACTTAAAACATTCATGGCAACATCAAGCTTTGTTACAGAATAATAATCAAAGTTCATCTTTTATTATTCTAACCTTATACAGATCTTTTTGTGTAAATCTTTGTCCAAGAAATATATGTTCCATCTTGAAGAAAAGTAATTCTAGCCCAAAGCAAAGAAACTGAGTGTTGCAAGCAATGTAATTCCTTCTCAAGTGAATGCTCAGAACTCTTAACCCTTTCTTGTCTTGTCAAAGTAGATCTCTCTCTGGCCCTCTATGTCTGAAAGCACTTAATTAAGAACTACCCAGAATTCACTAAGAAAATGTAGGCAGTGGAGGTTATTTTATGGCAGAGAAGATGTATAAGAATAAATTGAGAATTCTTGGACTTCAAATTGGTGGGATTGTTGCTTTAATATTGGGGATTTACTAAATCAGTTTAAATAACAAGCAATATATTTTCTATAATTTTATATTCATAACTTGCTATTTTCCACTTTTTGGAGAAAATAGACTTTCTATTTTATAGAAAATGATCTTTTAAGTATATATCCTGTTAATTGAAAATGTTCTTCCTTGCTATATGTGTTAATTTTAGTCAATATGTCAAATTAATTGACATAATGTTATGTGCCATCACCCTCCAGTTGGCTTTTAGAGGCTGTAAATCACACTAGAAGATTTGCCCATCTTTCTCCCACAAAACTGATAAGTTGCTTGCAAATTTTAAAAGTAATATACCAAATAAAGTTATTTTACTACATTCAGTTGCATTGGAACCACCTTTTGTGCTTGGAAGACAGTTAAATAAAGTAAATAAATAAATAAAGTTAATATAAAGTAATATACATTTAATGTAATTAAATTTATTATTATTTAATTGTTTATATAAATTAAATTAAATATAAAGTAAATCAGTAAATAATGGTAGAAGATCTAAGGTAATGTTATTAAAGAGACACACTCCCCAACTGACTGATGCCAGAAACTACAGAAACAGTGAAGAGAAAAGGCCTTGCTTTTCATTTCGCCTTTACTGTGGCCACTAGAAGAAATTCATCTCTTTGAGGCTGAAGTATCACGTAGATCCCAAAGAGTGATAAAAGAGCCTGCTAGAGGGCAGAACCAGCAGGAAGGAGGAATGGAAAGATGTTTTAGGATAAGGAACAGGCTCAGGGGTGAGGAAGTGCAGAAATGGGATAGGACAGGTGGTAAAACCAAAATGGGCAATGGGGAAGAAAAGGAACTAGGATGAGGACAGGGAGAAAAAGGGAAGGGAACATTATGGAAAGAGAACCTAATTGGAGACTGGATTTTTAAAATGAGGAATGGGAGTACAAGGTGAGCCTGGAGAAATGGATCAGAAGTAAAGAAAACAAGGGCTAGGGCTCATGAGCTTGCTGAAGAGTGTGGGGACGTTCTTAGGACCATTCATAAGGGTATATCTCACTTTAAGTAAAATAAAATGTACTGTTTTGGGTCACTATAGATAGTCTTAAACATATGTTTTTTGTTGGGGATTTGGTTTCAATTTTTGTTTTTGTTTTGCTTGGACCAATACTTGATGATTTAAGTCAAGTCAATTTTAGTGAGTGTTTTGTCTCAATGAGTTAAAAATTAAGTGCTCGGAGGAGCTTATTCAACTAATTTTGTCTTATTAAGTAACATAAGATAGACATATTAAATTACACCATTCTTACTGTATGTATGTAGCAAAGGATTATGAGATATAAAGTCTTTGTGCATTACCACTATAATTAATTTTAATAGCCATGGCTAAATAAAGATGCATGATGTTCCAGTATTAATTTGTTCTGTATCACTCAGATACAAGTAGTATATTTACATTTCTGAATCGAACAAATCAAATATATTCCCTCCCTCTGATCCATAGAGTTGACAAGAAGGAAGTTCAGTCACAAGTATGTTTGGGGGATGTATTGGGAGGCTTACACAGATTAAAACATTTGGGGAAAGCCCTCTGATCTTTAATCCTTCACACTCATTACTTACCTATATAGGTTCATCTGATCACTAGAAGGCTGGAGTTTCCTTTTTCTTCAAAGTTATCTCCATCCTCTGTGAACATCTTAACTCCTGTGCCTTTGACCAATGCCGCCATGGCCATGGTGTTTCATATCCAGGCACTCTCTCATGCTAACTTTGCTTCTTGTCACTTCCTTAAACCTCCAATGCCCTTATACATTACCCCTCCCAACCTCCCCACTCTACTCTCAAAGAAATATTGCAGTCATACAGGGTCAGGCCACCCATGGGTTGGAAGACAATACAAGTTAGGAGTCAAGTTTAGTCATGTTAGTCACAGTTTAGAACATGTCAGTCCATGCCCACTTCTGCTTCAAACCATTCAGATTCACCATGGCTGGCTCTAGAGGTCCCCTAGCCAATGTCCTAATTAGCAAACTGTCTAACCTCAGCATAACTCTCAACATCTCTTCACTGTTATTCTGCTAACAATCCCAGAAGCAGATCTGGGATTGCTTCCCAATTTTTATTGTTCTCAAGAAAAAAAATTTTGTGCTAAAATACTCTTATACAAAACTGTGGCACATAGGAAATCGTAATTCACAGTAAGAAAATGAATACCCTTGAAGGCACAGCTGTGGAGATAGTCCATTCTATGATTGTGTAAAATCTATGTAGTCTACCACAGTCAAGGTTCAAAGGCTTTATCACCAGAGAACACATTATGTTTTGATTGATTGATCATTTTTATCATGGGCAAAATAGCCTTTCTTGCTACCTAAACCAAGCATGAGGAGCCTCTGGGTAGCAAAAACAAGTACTCAATTACTGCCTGAAAGGATGATGGTTTACACCTACCCAGAGGCACCTTAGAAGGTAGACCTGGTCATCTGCCTCCCAAAGTAAACCCTGGGGAACAGTTCTACATTGAAAATATAAGGTCACCATGACTCAGCATTGACTTGCTGGCATCTAACAACAACATAACAAACACCTTAGCACACATGCCAGATGATATGGCTACACTGGGGCCAAAAGGTTAAGATTAGGACTAGGGTTACAGTGTCTACTAAGTGCCCTTCCCTCTCCAGGATAAAGACCATATGTTTGGGGGTTTTTCAATTTTAGAATTCAATTTCACTCTCTTTCAAGACTATCATTCACTGATAAGTGAGCACACATGTATATATGATTCAGATACATACATATATGGGCCTTTGGCATAGGCACACATGCATGGGTTCTGTCTTTCCACTTACTAGCCTTGTGATCATTGACAAGTGACATCTCTTAGCATCAATTTTTATCTTTATAATGGAATAATAGTACAGTGATGCCTCATAGATATTTAGCAATGAATTCAATTTTGTATGTTTAGTGCTGAATATAATGTTGTTTGAATATTTTTTAACAATAGACACATGAACACTTTCTATCTGCTTAATTTAGTGCTAACCAAAGGATTAAAGAAAAATGGCTTGGTTGCATGTATTTAAAGATGGAATACTTACATACTGTGTGAGTAGTTTAACAGCTTTTAAGGATCACTTTGAATGTATGAGATGTTCACCTTGGACTCTTCCTTATAACGTGTTAGAAGGATTACATCAGATAATCTGTAAAGCATTTAGGTCAATGCCTGACATATGGTATGCACTTAGTAAATGCTAATTATGGTAATTATAACTTTTGTAGTAGAAATAAACAGTATATAGTGTTTTTAAAAGTCTTAATTTTCAATCTGTACTATGTGGCTTCATTGCTATATAAACTTGGACAAGTGACTTAAAATTTCTAGCTACTAAAATAGAAATACTACTATTCTTAAAATTGTATTATATAAGATATCTATAGGGGAGCTCTGGTGGCCTAGTGGCAAGAAGCTGCAACTACAATCCCAGAGGTGCACGGTTCGAATCCACCAGATGCTCTGCCGAGTAAGGAGGGGCAATCTCCTCCTGTACCAGTCAGATCTGATTTGACGGTACACGCACACAAAAATAATATTAAAAAAAAAGATATCTATAATATGAAGTACCAAGACTAAACCTTGGCCAGTCATTAAATGTTAATTGTTTCTCCTTGTGGCCCTTAGGTTTGTGTTTGTACATATATGTAGATGTAAATGTATATGCATATGCATATGCATATGTATGCATATATATGTATATGTATATGGGAGGGAGGGAGATAAGAAATATATTTGCCTATCTCTAAATATTACTAAAGTTGATTTTCTGCTTACACAGGCCTTAAGGAAATCTCAGTTGAAAAAAAGCACAAATGGAATGCATCATATTTAAATTCTCAAATCAAAGCAGTTACCCAAAGGAGAGATACTATGGCTCATCGCATAATGTCCGCAAGACTTTATAAGATTAAAGAACTGAAAAATGATTTAGCTGATATACATCGTAAATTGGAAGCCACCATGATAGAAAACCAGTTTTTGAAACAACTTCAGTTTAGGCATTTAAAAGCAATAGGAAAATATGAGAACTCGCAAAACAATCTTCCTCAAATTATGATTAAACATCAGAATGAAGTAAAAAGTCTAAGGCAGCTACTTAGGAAATCCCAGGAAAAGGAAAGAACTGTGTCTAGAAAACTTAGGGAAGCTGAGAGTGAACTATTGAGGACTAAGGATGCCTTACAGACACTGCAGAAACTTTCAGAAGACACAAATCTTGCAGAAAGGGAAGAACTTACTCAAAAACTGTCTATTCTCACAACAAAACTGGAGGCAAATGACAAAAGAATACAGGTCTGTATTTCAGAGGCCCAGAAAAGTACACACAAATCCTGCTTGTCACTCCCTATTGAAGCATTCTGCCCAGAGCTGTACTGGTGACCCAGAGGTAGCACCTTTCTAGAGGTCTGAGTCCACTAGCAGCTGTGTGAGAGAAAGATAGGCAATCTGCAATTTGTAGCCTCCAAAAACACACTGGAAGGGTTCAATGGCAATGAGTTTGAGTGAATTTTTATGAGTTGTTTTGCCTGCAGGCCACACTAAACATGTTTGGTGGGGCAGAGGAGTTGAAAGACAGAAAAAGCTCTGGACTGGGAATATCCATGCTGTTGTCATAGTGAGCAAGAACCCACTCTATGGCTCGGCTGATTTACCTGGAAATAATCATTCTTTGAACTGACATGGCTACCATTGCTTTGGTAGTTTTTTCGTGTGTGCTAAAAAAATTATGCTGTGTTGTGTAAACTCTTTTAGAAACCACCCCTCTACCAAAGTGTTCATTAAAAGAGTACTTCCTTAAAAACTTAGCCAGTGCATGTATTCAGTCCCTTCCCTTTAATTCTGCCTCATTAGTTTGACCAATCATTTCAACACACACATTTGCAGGATTTGAGATAGAAGAACATTTCCCAGTGAAAGTCCTTGAAAGAAAGAGTTGAAGAAACAGTTTGATTTTATTAATAATATATAGTTATCAGTAGGTTAGAGTTTGTCACAAAGGATGATTTAGAGAAATGCACCGATCATATTAAGAATCTTGCCATATATTCTAAATTAAAATAGGTCTCTAAAGACAAAAAGAGGGATCTCTGGTACTGCGCTGCAGTCCTGAAGGCACATGGTTCGAATCCATCCGCTGCTCCAGGAGAAGGATGGGCAGTCTCCTCCTGTGTGATTAACTGCCTCTGAAAACTGGCAGGAGAGTCAGCTATGAGTCATTTCTGACTCGACGGTAAACAATACCACAAAGACAAAAACAAGGGTCATTTATTTACTGCCAATTCCTGGTATTTTAAAAAAATATTTTATATTGATTTGCATAAAAAATTTCTACTCTTGAATATTAGAAGCAAGTATTTTCTATGATCTTGAAATAAAAAGGTAAAAAGTTCATTCCATCCTCCTTTTTATATCAGTTATTTCTCCTAATTAAATTCCCTCTATCATCAGAGCAGATTTTCTCAAAAAGAATAGAATGTAAGTTACAGACATTAATGAGCAATCTTATTTTCCATCTTTGTAAGTAGTTTTCCACATAAATCTATCATATAAAAGTAAAAGGGGGGGTTCATCTAAACAGATGAAACAAACCTGAAATTATTAAAACATTACTCACTTTTTTTTTTTTTGCTAAAGGAGCAAAATGTTTTGGACTGCTAACTAAAGGGTTGGCAGGTCAAATCCACCAGCCAATTTGCACAGGAGGAAGATGGGCAGTCTCTTCCTAGAAGGATTTAGAGCCTCAGCAATGCCGTAGAAGGCGCTTGGCTCTAGCTCAGTGGAGTGGTAGCCCATAGCTCTGTCTCACACCAGCTTCTGGGTCTCTGCTGTCACTGCCACTTCTGCCAATGTTGCTGTCTCATTTCACGTTGTCTGTAGTCTCATACCGTGTCTCTCTGGTGTTTTAGTTGTCTCTGGTTCTTCCAGAGATCCAAGTTCAAAGGATGCACTGCTGCACTCTCTAGTTATGAGGGTTTTTTGAGGTTTTTACCTTTTTTTATTTTGTGTGTGTGTGTGCCCTCAAATCAGATCTGAATGGTACAGCAGAGCATCTGGTGGAATCAAACTGCACACCTCTGGGATTGCAGTACAGCTTCTTGCCACTAGGGCCACCAGAACTCGCCTACTTCTTGTGTTTTTATGATAATAAAATTCCCCTGTTTGTTGAAGCATCTCAGTTGATGTTCCATCAGTTGTGGAAGCATTAGGTTTTGCTAGTGGCTTCAGTGTAGCTCAAACTTCTTCGGTCTCAGTGATTCTTGACCACATATTACCTCCCAGTTTTTTAAATGTTAACCAATCCTTTTTTTTTTGTACAGTAACTACATATTACTGCATCATATATTCCTTTTATACAGTGACTGTGTATTTCTGCATCATTTTCTTTCTCTCTCTCTCTCTCTCTCTCTCTCTCTCTCTCTCTCTGTGTGTGTGTGTGTGTGTGTGTGTGTGTGTGATCAACCGGAACCAACTCATAGCTGACCCTACAACAGGTTTTCAGAGACTGTAAATCACAGAGGAGGAAATGGCTATCTTTCTCCTGAAGAGCAGCTATGGTTTTGAATCACTTACCTTTGGTTTGGCAACAACTAGACCCCCAGAGCTCCCTTTTTGCCCTTGGTATCCTTCAGTGTTGTAACTCGGGTCTTAAATTTTCTTTTGTTATTTATCTCTTTTTTGTTGTTGTTTATATTTTCTACTTTCCTTATCAAAAATGTATTAATGTTATGTTAGGAGAAACTCTAAAAAGTCTTTATTCAGACCTTCAAAGTACGGATCATTGCATTGTTAGAGTGAACATGCAACATCAGTACTGAACAAAAGGGTTATGGAGCAGTTTTATAATTCATGTGGATAGGGTAGAATGAGAGTCCATAATTTTGAATCTCATTTACCTGTGAATCCCTGTGCCCATATGGGTTTCACTGATATTAGAATGACTCTTTACAAAAAGAGACTTGGAAGGTTTTTAATGAATACATTATGCTAAGATAATGGTTAAAATATGTCATTCTTAAAACATGACATGGAATTCCATTTCTTTTCAAGATTTATTAAAAAAAATTATCAAATTCTAAAATATTTAAGAAACACATTTTTAAAAATATTATCTTTTTCTCAAATTGAGATCCAAGATTTATCTTTTTGTTGTTGTCATATGTAGCTTAAATTTATGGGCCTTATACATTGTCATTGTTCCTCAAATACCATACTGTCAAATTAACATTTTAAACTTTTCATTGTTGTTGTATACCGTCGTGTTGGAACTGAGCCATAGCTGACCCTCCAGCAGCTTTTCAGAGACAGTTAATCTCATGGGAAGACATTGCCCATCCTTCTCCCATGGAGCAGCTAGTGACCTCAAACCACATGCCTTTAGGATTGCCGAGCATCTTCTTGCCACTTGGCCACCAGAGCTCCCCATAATACATGTAGTTATTTCCAATTTAATTGATGTTCTTAATAATACTACATCAGTTACAGAATAGTTGAAATATGTACTGTTTTCAGAGCTTGGAAAAACAATTGAAGTTGAACAAGAAATCCTTTAATCGGCAGTTGGCTGCTGAGAACAAGAAGACTTTAGCAGCACAAACAGCTACAAAGGCTTTGCAAACGGAAGTAAAGCACCTTTCTCAGAAACTTAAGGTATTTTTTTCAAACAAATTGTTGTTTTAAAAAAGTGACATTCTCTTTCCCAACATAGCAAAGTTATAGTATGTCTACAATATCTTTTAGTTATTTTTATAATCATTTACATTAATATATTTATCAAATTTTCTCCTCTTAAATTATATGAAAAAATCTAAAATTATCAGAATGTGTTAAATAACATGGTAAATATATACTGTAATTAGAAAAGTAAATTCTTTTATTGCCTTTCTATTATTTTTCCTCATCATATAAATCAATATTACTTCTTTATGTTAATACTTTAACTCAAAATAAGTTTTCTAATTTTAAAATTAACTGAAAATACAAAATTTTACGTTAAAATGTAATATATTTATTAGGGAAGGGGTAGCATGGAGCATGGTATTGCAGTTTAAGTACCTGGGGTCAGTGAGTGGCAAGTTTGTAAAGAGTCTTGCAGCTAACCAAAAGGTTGGAAGTTCAAACCCACAAGCCGTTCGAAGGGAGAACGATGAGAAAAGTCTACTTTCCTTAAATGTTTACCCCTGGAAACCTTCAAGAGTGGACTTAAGGTGGAATCAATTGTAGAAGGTGGCTGAGAAAAAGGTTTTTAACACCCTGTTAAAAAGATTTCACTTTTTAAAAAATCTTTTATTTTGTTTTCAGTGAAAGTTTGCATATCAGTTTACATTCATTCAACATTTTCTATACAAACTTTCAGTGACATAGATTATATTCTCCTGAACATATTCAGAATTTCTATTCTAGTTACTCCATTTCCATTAACCTTGCATGTCTGCCCTCTTACATTATTTTTGTCAATCTATTCTTTTTCTAATATGCAGCCTTACACATTTGAATTGTTATGTAGCCATTTTTAAAAACTTTTTATCTTTTTTCGTGCTTACAAAGCTTTGAGTTTTTGTTAAAGGGTGATGAAAAATTAGGAAACAGTAGTAATGGTTGTATATGATGAACATAGACAATATTACCGAATTGTTCTTGTAAACACTATTGTTGTTTTGATTACTGTCAAGTCAAGCATGACTCACAGTGACCCTATTAACAAAAGACCTGAAGCCTTTCTATAACTATCGTCATTTCTCAAAGTTCATAGATTTTTCCAGAGGCCAGTGGTTTAGGAAATGGATGCCACTTCTGCTTCCAAGCCTGTCTTAAATTGGGAGCTCCACCATGAGTAACTGTTATGGCATTTGACACTCCTATGGCACAAGGTTCAACATCACAACAAACCCAGGTTACCTCAGTACAGCAGATTGAGAGAAGAGTTCTGTACCACTTAGAAGAATGTTCCTCCAAAATATAATAACCGACTTTGAAATACAAAGGCCCTCCATGAGGTCTTGTTAACTCTAAACAAGAGGCTTAAATGAAACAAAAAACAAACAAAAAAACCCCCAATATATGTATAGTCAATTGAAAAATTGCTTCTTTAAATCCCCATCCATGTAGTAAACAAAATGCATCAACACTATTGAAACACCAGTGTAATGTTATAAAAGAAAATATCAATGAAAACCCAAAATCTCTGTAAATGTTCATTAAAACTAATAAAATTTAATTTAAAAAAAGAAAATATCTATGCATCATTAAATGGAAAAGCAATATGATTTTGAAGTTTCCACTCAAATGAGAAATAAATATTAAATTATATATTGAAACAGCAGATGTCTTGTTTTATATATATTTTTACCACTAAACATATATACATGTCTGTGTGTGTGAAAATACATAATGATTTATTCACTTCCAGTTTACAGAGATACCATATGGTTTCAAAGACTTTCCTCTTTATGGAAACAGACTGTCATACCTCTTTCCCATGGAGTGACTGATGGGTTTGAACTACTGACTTTTCAGTTAGCAGTCATGTTTTTATCCACTAAGCCACTGGAGATGTGATAGAGAGAGATACTTCTAACAGAAGAAGCTTCTCCAGAGGATACATGGACAAATACAATAGGCAAAACTAGAAAATTTTTATAATTTTTTTTTGTTTATTCTTTTCTTGTGCATGTACGGTAAAATCAGATCTGACTGCTACAGGAGAAGATTGTCCCTCTTCCAGCAAAGCATCTGGTGGATTCGAGAAAATTTTTATATAGATAATAGAAGAATGTTTTTTTGTTGTTGTTGTGTGCCATTGAATCAACTGAGACTCATAGCAACATTGGGAACAACAGATCTGAACCTGGCCCTACACTGTGCCATTTTTATAATCTTTGATATACTTCAGCCCATTGTTACAGTCACTATGTCAGCCCATCTTATTGAGAGTCTTTCTTTCTTATACTAATCCTTCACCTTTCCAAGGATGATGTCTTCCTCTAAGGATTGACCCCTCTTTTAACAACACGTCCAAAATATGTGAGACGAAACTTCACCATCCTTGCTTCCTCAGAGCACCCTAGTTGCATTTTCTTCAAGATATACTTGTTTGTTCTTTTGACAGTCCATGTGATATTTAGTACTCTTCTTCAATACCACAACTCAAAGGCATCACCTCTTCTCCTGTTGTCCTTACTCATTGTCCAACTTTCAAGTGCAGTAATCAAAAAGACCATAGCTTAGATAAGGCAGGCACACCTTGGTCTTTAAATTGGCATCCTTGTTCTTCATAACTTTGGAGAGGTCCCTGACAGCATATTTTTCCAGTGCAATACATCTTTTGATTTCTTGACTCCTGTGTCTAGCCGAGTAAGATTATATCATTGACAACTTCAATCTTTTCTCCATCTATTGTGATGCTGCCTATTGGCTGAGTGGTAAGGATTTTGGTTTTCTTGATGTTAAAATGCAATCCATGCTGAGGGCTTCCGTGTTTGATCTTCTGCAACAAATGCCTCAAGTGTTCCTCAGTTTCAGCAAGCAAGGTTTTATCATTCCCATAATGCAGGTTCTTGATGAGTCTTCCTCTAAATGTGATGATGCCAGTTCTTCTTCATAAAGTCCAGTTTCTTGTATGATTTTTTTTCAACATAAAGAATATGTGTAGAGAAAATTTACAGCCCTGATAGTGCACACCTTTCTTAATTTTCAAGCATGCAGTGCTCCTTTGTTCTAATGGCACAACAGCCTCTTGGTCTAGATGTAGATTTTGCATGAGCACAATTAAATGTTCTGAGATTCCCTTTCTTCTCAATGTTATCCATAATTTGATCCATACAGTCAAATGCCTTTGCATAGTCAATAAAACAGACAGCTCTCCTTCTGGTATTCTCTGCTTTCCACCAAGATCCGTCTGACACCAGCAATGACATCCCTGGTACCACAGCCTCTTCTTAATCCAGCTTGAATTTTTGACATTTCTCTGTCAATTTATTTTTCTAGATGCTTTTTAAATGCTCTTCGGCAAGATTTTGCTTACATGTGATAGAATTACTATTCCTCAGTAGTTTGCACATTCTCTTGGATCACTTTTCTGGGAGGAAAAGGAACAAATGCAGATCTCTCACAGCCATTTGACCACGTAGCTGTCTTCCTGATTTTCTGGCACAGCCTGATGAATGCATCCAGAGCTTAAATCCTGTGGAGCACTTCTACTCTGTGACAAATGAGGCCACTATGAATCAGGGAGCTCAACTTAATGGTGGCTAACAACCACAAGGTATTAATTTGGCTCTAAGCAGCGATCTCCATTGACTGGTAGCATCATAAGAGAAATCACAGGCATTATACACAACAGCCAGGTGCACACACTATCCAAACCAAAAATGACCTAAATCTAATTGAACATTTAGATCAAACAACTAGTGGAAAAGAAATATGGGAATACTGCATGGTTCAAAATCAGGTAACATGTTAACTAGGATTGTATCCTTTCTCCATACCTATTCATTCTTTTTGCTGAGAAAATAATTTGAGAATCTGAACCATAAGAAAAATAATGTGATATCAAGATTAGAGCAAGACTTTTTTTTTCTATAATTATATTTTATTAATTTTCATAAACATTTACAGAGATTTTGGGCTTCCACTCATTCATTGTTGCACTATTCTCTCTACCCTCCTCCCAGTTTGTTCTTGTCCAAATGCCACAGTGCTTGTCAAAGCCAGTTCTGATTAATCTTCTTTGTCAGTGTGTCCTTTGCCATTCCCTATCACTCCTCCCTGAGAGAGACTTCACCCTGAGTCATAAGGAAAAGGGGATGGCGTATTCTCTTAGCTACTTCCTGCTGAAAAGGGACACTGTGGGTTTCAGGGTGAAGATCTTCTCTCACTACTCTAAAGGGCCCCTTTGGCAGTAGGAAACACATAGACTATTATGGAGATTGATTTTGGAATTTAGATGCACTCTTATTGATTGTGGTTGGCTGTACATGTTCATATCCTTGAAGATGTATCATGGGGGTGTTGCAACCTAGAAGACACAAATTTGACTAACAAGTTATAAGTACATGAGTCCAAAAATTATGGAAAAGTAAAAGAAAGGATTCTTTCATTGTTTTACAAACCCTCCCCCAGGTCCCCTCCACCACGTAGCCCTCGCTCTAAGATTAGAGCAAGACTTGCTAATAAGCTAGGTTATGCAAATGATACAAGCTGCTTTCAGAAAGTAAAAAAGACATAAAACACTAAAGAGCAGTATGGATTTCATCTTAACAGTAGGAAACTGACATTCTCACATCTGGACTAACAGGCAACATCAAAGTAGAGGAGAGAAAAATGAAGTCAACTATTTCTTTTCACATAGATCCACTATCAACACCATAACAGTGAAGAAATAAAAAGACTTCGGTAAATCTGCTGCCAGGGATCTCTTTAAGATGCTAAAGATTAAGAAGCTGCACTGCAATCCCAGAGGCACATGGTTCAAATCCACCAGATCCTCTACTGGAAAAGGAGGGGCACTCTCCTCCTGTACCAGTCAGATCCAATTTGATAGTACACACACAAAAAAATTGTAAAATAAACAAGACGCTAAAGATTAAGATTGTTAGTTTGAAGACTAAGCTGTGCCTAATGTAAGTCATGATATTTTCAGTTGTTTCATA